CGCCCTAAGACGGCCCAAGAGGCCCCCAAGAGGCCCCTAAAACAGCCTAAGAGGGCGCCAAGACGGCCCAAGAGGCGCCCAAGACGACCCAAGGTGTTCCCAAGACGGCCCCAAGAGGGCCCCAAGAGGCCCACGAGAGAGCCCCAAGACTGCCAATGACAGCCCAGTCCCCGCACCCCCGCCCCAAGAAGCTCCCAGGAGGCCCCAAGAGGCCCCCAAGAAGCCCCAAAAGGCCCCCAAGAGGCCCCGCACCAAAACAGCCCCCAAGCGGCTTCGAAACTGCCTCCGAGAGGCCCGCGAGAAGCCTCCCCAGAGATCCCAGTGGACACCGCACAAGCTTCGGACCGACAACCTAGGCACGTTGGCGATCGGTCACGTAAAAGCTCTTCACACCAAGGATCCGAACAGCGAACGGTGAGAGCGAAGGGTGACGTAAACAACTCGACACCAAGGCTCCCAAGGGCGAGCGGCAACGTAACAATATCTGAACACCAAGGTTCCCAAGAGCGAGCGATGACGTAACAAGCTCTTAACACCGAAGCTCTCAAACAGACGGTGGCATGACGAGTCCTGCACTGCCAAGGCTCCAAGAACGGACAGTGACGTGACGGATACAGCGCACGAGAGCCGCAAAACGGCCGAGGAAGGCCCCAAGACTACCCACAAGAGCTCCAAAAGGACCCCCAAGAAGGCCCGAAGAGGCCAACATCGATGATTGTCCGTAAGTGTTTGGAGCATATGGTCTCTCACAAAGTAAATAGTTAAATAGTTCCTGAAAGCGAGGCTCTCAGTACGGACAGTGACGTGAGAAGTGGTTGACCACCAAGGCTCCCAGTACGAAAGTTGACGTAAGGGGGGTAGGGGGAGGGAATGAGTGTTAATGGTTTTTTTTCGGGTGTTCCCTCGGGTTGTTGTATGTTGTTCGGGTTCTCCCTTTTCCTGCCCCAGAAGAGCCCAAGACCGCCCAAGACAGCCCCCAAGACGTCCCAAGAGGCCTCCAAGACGCCCCAAGAGGCGCCCAAGAGGCGTCCAAAGAGGCCACCAGGAGGCCAACATCATTGACTGTCCTTAGGACAACGTGCATGTTAAGCATATGCGGCTTTTCGGCTTTCACTGCGTTGACGACGGCCCAAGAGGCCTCCAAGATCGCCCCAAGACGGCCCAAGAGGCTCAGAGGCCCCCAAAACGGCCCAAGAGGGCCCCAAGACGGCCCAAGAGGCGCCCAAGACGGCCCAAGAGGGCCCCAAGACGGCCCGAAGAGGGGGACCACGAACGGAAAAGTCTAGCCTTCCGCCCCAAGACGCTCCCAGGACGCCCCAAGAGCCCCCAAGAAGCCCCAAGAGGCGCCTAAGACGCTTCCCAAGAGGCCACCAGGAGGCCCAAATCATTGATTTGCTTGAGGAAAACGTGCATTTTAAGCATATACGGCTTTTCGGCTTTCACGGCGTTGACGACGGCCCAAGAGGCCCCCAAGATCGCCCCAAGACGGCCCAAGAGGCTCAGAGGCCCCCAAAACGGCCCAAGAGGGCCCCAAGACGGCCCAAGAGGCGCCCAAGACGGCCCAAGAGGGCCCCGAGACGGCCCAAGAGGGGGACCACGAACCGAACAGTCTGGCTTTTCGCCCCAAGAAGCTCCCAGGAGGCCCGAAGAGCCCCCCCAAGAAGCTCCAAGAGGCCCCCAAGAGGCCTCCAAAAGGGCTCCAACAAACAGGGCCGCAATAGGACTTCCAAGAAGGCCCGGAGACGCCAAATAAAGAGCGATCCGTAACGCAAAAAGCTCTTCACACTAAGGCTCCCAAGAGCGAACGGTGACGTAAACAAGCTGATAAGACCTAGGCTCCCAGCAGAGAGCGGTGACGTGACAAGTTCTTGACACCAAGGCCCAGCCTAGGCTCAGGAACGGGCGGCAACGCAACAATCTCTAAACACCAAGGCTCCCAAGAGCGAGGTGTGACGTAACAAGCTCTCAACGCTAAGGCTCCCAGTACGAACGGTGCTGCGAGAAATTTCGGTTCCTGTTTCTGAAGCGCTTCTTCCGTTTCTGTGCCGGGCCAGGTAACGGAAAGAGCGAGGTACGAGTGATGACTTTGTGTTTGGGCGAAGCCCCGAAGGAGGAGTGCAGAGGGGGAGTAGGGGGAGGGAATGGGTGTTAATGTTTTTTTCGGGTGTTCCTTCGGGTTTTTGTATGTTTTTCGGGTTCTCCCTTTTCCTGTCCCAGAAGAGTCCAAGACCGCCCAAGACAGCCCCAAGACGTCCCTAAGAGGCGCCCAAGAGGCGTCCCAAGAGGGCCCCAAGAGGCCAACATCAATTGTTTTTCTTAGGGAAACGTGCATTTGTTGCATACACGGTTTTTCGGCTTTCACGGCGTTGACGACGGCCCAAGAGCCCCCCAAGACCGCCCCAACACGGCCCAAGAGGCTCCCAAGAGGCCCCCAAAACAGCCCAAGAGGGCCCCAAGACGGCCCAAGAGGCGCCCAAGACGGCCCAGGAGGCCCCGAGAGCCCCCCAAGAAGCCCCAAGAAACCCCACGAGGCGTCCCAAGTGGCCACCAGGAGGCCAAACTCATTGATTTCCTATTGCAAGAAAAGTGTATTTTTAGCATGCACTGCTTTTCTGCTTTCACGGCTTTCGCCCCAAGAAGCTACCAGGAGGCCCCAAGAGCCCCCCAAGAAGCCCCAAGAGGTCCCCAAGAGGCCCCCACAGGGGCTCCAAAAGGGCCCCAATAGGACTCCCAAGAAGGCCCAGAGACGCCAAATAAAGAGCGATCGGTAACGCAAAAAGCGCTTTCAAACCAAAGCTCCCAAGAGCGAACGGTGACGTAAACAAGCTGATAAGACCAAGGCTCCCAGCAGGGAGCGGTGACGTAACAAGTTCCTGACACCAAGGCCCAGCCTAGGCTCAGGAACGGGCGGCCACGCAACAATCTCTGAACACCAAGGCTCCCAAGAGCGCGGGCTGACGTAACAAGCTCTCAACGCCAAGGCTCCCAGTACGAACGGTGGTGTGAGTAATTTCGATTTCTGTTTCTGAAGCGCTCTTTCCGTTTCTGTGCCGGCCCAGGTAACGGAAAGAGCGAGGGCTCCCAAGAGGCCTCCCCAACGGCCCAAGAGGGCCCCCAGACGGCCCAAGAGGCGCCCAAGACGGCCCAAGAGGGCTCCAAGCCGGCCCCAAGAGGGGGACCACGAACCGAAAAGTCTAGCCTATCGCCCCAAGACGCTCCCGGGAGGCCCCCACAGCCCTCCAAGAAGCCCCAAGAGGCCCCCAAGAGGCGTCCCAAGAGGCCACCAGGAGGCCAACATCATAGACTTTCTATGGGAGAACGTACATTTTTTGCATGCACGGCTTGCGGCTTTCACGGCGCTGACGACGGCCCAACAGGCCCCCAAGACCGCCCCAAGACGGCCCAAGAGGCTCCCAAGAGGCTCCCCAAGCGGCCCAAGAGGGCGCCAAGACGGCCCAAGAGGGCCCCAAGACGGCCCCAAGAGGGGAGCCACGAACCGGAAATTCTAGCCTTTCGTCCCAAGACGCTCCCAGGAGGCCCCCACAGACCCCCAAGAAGCCCCAAGAGGCCCCCAAGAGGCTTCCAAAAGGGCTCTACAACGGCCCCAATAGGACCCCCACGAAGGCCCAGAGACGCCAAATGAAGAGCGATCGGTAACGACAGCCAAGGCTCAGGAACGGGCGGCAACGCAACCATCTCTGAACACCAAGGCTCCCACGAGCGAGAGGTGACGTAACAAGCTCTTAACGCGAAGGCTCCCGGTACGAACGGTGGTGTGAGTCATTTCGGTTTCTGTTGCTGCAGCGCTCTTTCCGTTTCTGTGCCGGGCAAGGTCTATTGGATTGCGGCCTATCTCGCCACAGTTTTTGGGTCGTGGATGCCTCTCGTGGGCCATTTGGCCCGTTTGACGGAAAGCGCGCGTAGCGTCTAGCGTCGCGATCCGTTAGCCGGGAGAAATAACAAGGGGGTGGGGGGGGAGGCAGCTGGAGCCGCAGATCGAAACGCTCTAGTTTCGGCAAGTTTCTGTCCGAGACGGCCCAAGTCAGCCCCAAGAGCGCTTCAGAGGCCCCCAAGACGGCCCAAGACAGGTCCAACAGCGCCCAAGACGTCGTCGGAGAGGTCCAAGAGGGCCCGAAGACTGCCCAAGAGCGCTCCAAGATGGCAAAACATGGCTGTAAGACAGCCCAAGAGGCCCCCAAGACACCCCAAGAGGCCCCCAAAGGGGACCCCCGAGAGGCAAACATCGCCCCACTCCCTCAGGGAAACCTATAGACATGTTTAGCAGATTAGCTTCGTTGGTATTCACGGTGTCCGAGGTCGCCCAAGAGGCTCCCAAGATCTCCCTCGGACGCCCTGAGAGGCCCCAAAGAGCGCTTCAAGACGACCCAAACGGGCTCCAAGACGGCCGAAGAGAGCTCCAAGACTGCCCGAGACGGGTCCCAGAGGGCCCCGCAAGGTTCCCAAGAGAGCCCCAAGAGGGCCACAGGAGTCCACAGGAGGTTCCCAAGAGCACCCCCAGTGAGCCGCAAGACGGCCCAAGCCCGCCAAGACGGCCCAAGGGTCCCCGGACGGCAGGGGCCCCAAGACGGCCCCAAAGCGCCCCAAAAGGACCCCCAGGAAGGCCCGGAAATGCAAAATTCTTTGATTTTCGCGAGACCTGTTGTGAGATTTCTTGTATGTCGTACCAAAGCCTTCACACCAGCAGGGCTCCAAGACACTAGCCAGCGACTTCGCGCCCTCACAGCCAGAACCCGCGCTTTCCGTCCCTATGCCAAGCAGGTTGGGGCGCTCTTGGCTCCGAACACGCCATGCGGAAAACGCAGGGGACCTGCGGGAGGCAGGCTGGGACCCCTGGAAAGTTCCGGACCGCAGAGGACCTCCGGGCACTCCTCCTCGTGCCTCGCGGTACGGTGGCCGACGTGAACCTGACACCCTGTGAGTACGCCCCGACCCATTGCCTCGTGAGCCTCCGCCCCGGCGACCCCCCGCGCCCTGGCCAGGGCCGGCCCTCCGTTCGGGCGCTGCACCCGGACGGCACCTTCTGGCCCACGGTCGAGCTCGTGCGGGCGCGCGGCGGCCGCCGCCCGCAGTGGTCATTGGCCGCTTCCGGCTTCCGCCGCAACGGCCGCCACCGCCGTCGTCAGCGAGGGTGGCGGAGCAGGGGGAGAGGAAGGAGGAGGAGGAGGAGGAGGAGGAGGAGGAGGAGGAGGAGGCAGAGGAGGCAAAGGAAGAAGGTGGCGGACCGTCGCACCCACTGTGGGCAAGATGGAATGGCGCACCAGTTTTTGGGGACGGAGCCACTGCAGCAGCTCGTCCCGCGACTGGACGACGCACTCGGCTGGTCGGACGGGGCTAGGACGAGGATAAGTCCGTTCCAGACTAGCGTTCTGGAACGCTCTCAAAGCGTTCGGGAACGCTCTGACAAGGCCGCATCGCCCGAGACATTTTCCCAAATTGCCGGATCTCAGATATTCTCGATTTATCTTCACCCGATGTTATGCTCGTCTTGGTTCCGTCTTAGCTGGGAGGGGCGGGATCCCCTGCTGTGAGATGGCCTCCAGACGCCCACTACGGCACCGCCAGCCCGCCAGGGTTTGCTGTCGCTGGTGCTTGTGATCCCGCCCCGGACGCGGGCGGCGTGCACGGCACGTGAGCCGGTTGCAGATCTCCGTAGTTCTAGAAACCCCAGTACGAGTTGGACGTCAGAGGCGAGACAGCCACGCCTGCACTGTTGACTACTGTGCTTTCAGCGTCCTGTGGCGCAAACGCACTCGGATCCAGGTCTGGGGATCTTGCTACAAGATCGATCTCCTTTGTCCCTGCCGTGGGCGCTCGGGCGTGTGTAGCTTCTCAGCTGAGCCTCGCACTGTGCTCACGGGCTGGGTTCCAAGCTCTCACAATATGTGGGCGTGTGTCGTTGAGCCTTAACCCTGTTCGGTTTTGTATGTTTGCCTGAGCTAGGGAACATACCATTCCGTCTTCGGCTCTGCTGTCTTCGGCAATTTAGGTGATGATTAATGTTTGGTGGCGGCTAATGCCAGAAAGCAACTCGGGGTGTGTTGGGTGTTTCTCTTCTCCCTCACGTGTTCGTTGTTGTGGTGTTTGTGGCGTTTGCGTCTGTGCTGTGGTGCTGTGTTGTGTCGCCGTGCGCTCGTCCCCTCCCCTGCCCACCACCCAACTTTGCCCAGGAGCCGCCCTGTTCTCCTCCACCCGCCTGGCCCGTGACACACAAAAGGTCCTGGCCTGGCTGAGCGTCACGATGGGCAGTTCTTGAACAATAATCGTAGGCCGCTGGCGCGGGTGCACTGCAATCGCCGCGGGTCGAGCCTTTTTCGGGTCCGCCCTCTTTCTCCTTTTTCTCACCTGCCCCACTCTCGTGCGGTGCTGTGGTGTTTGTGGTGTGGGTGTATGTGCTGTGGCGCGCGCAGGTGGATTTGCCCCGGCCGCAGTCTCGCTGTTCCGCTGGGGGGCCACCGCCTTCTGCGGCTCGCCTCCCAGTTTGCCTCCGCCCCCCTCGTGGACGGCCGGCTGGGCTCGCCCTCTCGTCCTGAGGGGCTCCGCCCGTGCGCCTCTTGCCCGGGGCGACGCATAGCTCCCTGCCGTGATGCCGTGCACCGGCTGAAGAGTGGCGCTCTTATTTCTCTCCAGCCTCTGCTTCTCCCAGCGCCCTGCGAGGGGTGCCCTGCCGGCCCGCCCCTGCCTCGGGGCCGCCGCGCCATCCACCGCTTTGGGGCTCCCCTGCTCCCCGCAGCTGCTGCAGCGCTGGCGCCCCTCCTGCCGCTGTCGGCCCCACCGCTGCCTCCCCCAGCGCCGGCAACCTGGCTGCTCCCGCTCTCTGACTTGCTGGGCCTCGCCCGATCTGTGGCTGCTGGCGCCCCTCCGTGGGCGCACTGCGACGACCACCCGCAGCCGCTGCCAGGTTGGCCCCTCAGCCAGGCCGCGCCCACGCACCCGCCGCAGCCTCGCTGCGTGAGTGCACCCCCTCATAAGCTTTCAACACACCCCCGCCACCGATCCTCCATGGGGGTGGGTGCCTGGGGCTCTGGGGTGGGGCTCGGGGTTTGGGGGGTTCCGCGGGGTTGGCGCGAGCGACGCGCCCCCCCCTCCCTGAGACGGCCAGCGCTTTCCCATTCGGACTCAGCGAGAAAAGGAGGATGGAGGACTGAGGAGGCACAGGAGGGGGGCAGGTAGAGGAGGGCGCCCCCCAACAGCGCGCCCCCAAACAGCGCACCCCCAAACAGTCCCCAAACAGTGCGTTCCCAAACAATCCCCCAAACAGTGCGCCCCCAACCAATCTCCAAACAGTGCTTGCAGTAGGTGGTCCTATGTTGCTTATCCTCCTGGATCTGCTGTCGTATTCGAGTTTGCGTTGGTTTCGCGCGGATGGTGGGTGGCCCCGCGTCTCGCGTGCGTCCCCTGCGTCGGGTGGGTTCGAGGTCCCGCTCGGCGGAGGGCCGCGGATGTCTCGGCGTTGCGCGGGTCACCCCGCGCGCGTAGCGCGCCAGCGCTGACGTCCGAGCGCTTGCTCTGCGTAGCCCCCACCGCGCGCGCTGCGCCATGTTGAGGAATCCGTTTCGTTGCGCCTCTTAGCCCACGTTGCTTTACTAAATCGCCTAGCGCGCGGCTTGTCGTTCGTGACGCGCCGACGTTTCTGCACATATATGTTTGCGCCACATAATGCAATACCGCCTTTAAGCTCACATCGCACAGCTTGCGCCGCGCGTACCTGGCGCCGTTTCGGTTTGCCCGCGCCTGCGCCGCATCGGTTTTTGCACGAAGCGCGCGCGACGTTGCTCGGTATTGCTTGCGCCTCGCAGGTCGCGCAATTTTTGTTTGCACCGCGTAGCTTGCGCCGCGGGCGTCGCGCGCACTCCCGTCACTCACCGTGCACATCGCGCATCGCGGTTCGTGCGTTTTACCACCTACGCACGCCAGGTGCAGTTGGCCAGGCGTTTCGCGTCTCCTAGCTCCCGCCGCCATGGCACGCCGCGCGCCTCTCACCACGTCGCGCGACGCGGAGGCCGCGACACATATTTCATCCATATAGGAGTGCGAGGTTCCGCTGTTTGGGGTCCACGTCGCACGCGGTGCGCGTTCGGTAGCGCCGCTCGCGCTGGCGCCGCGGCTGCCGCAGCTCTCGGGCCCAGAGCTTCAGCTGCAGCAGGGCCCGACCCCCGTCGAGCTGCAGCGCGGCGCAGCGCTGCGATGGGCGGAGACGCGACGCCGCACGCGGCGCAGAAGATCCCCTCGGACATCCGCCTGCTCTGCAGCATATTGATGGGCAAGGATTCGCGGGCAAGTTTTTTTTTTTTTTTTTTTTTTTTTCCGACCCCCGATTGGTGTCATTCCCCCTATCTGCGTTGTCGCACGCCGCCCCCCGTTCGCCCCCCTCGCCCGCCCGCCCCGCGTCGCCCCGCCCGCGGGCCCGATCCGCGGCCAGGAGACTCCAGCCAAGGACGTCTCCGAGCAGGTGAAGCGGAATGTCCTCGTCAAAGTCGCGGGCATTGTCCGCGAGTTGGTCGAGGACGCCCGATGGGGGGCCGGCGGTTCGGCGATGCCAGGGGCAGCAGGGCCAGGCAGTCGCATCGGGAAGGAGGCGGGGGAGGATGCGGGGAGGAGGTGGACGAGGGGGGCGGTGCAAGGTGGTGGAAGTGGCTATGGGCTGGCGCCTGCCCGCCAGGGCATTGGCATCGCAGTGGCATGGGGGGGGGGGGGGTCTGCCACCCCGCCCACCCCTCATTCGCCTCCATCTCCTTCTCCTACGTCGCATCCTCCCCTCGTTCGGACCCCCGCCAACCCCCGCATAATTATTGCCCCCATTGCTTCGTAGCCTGTCCTCCCTCAGTCGTTTCGCGTCGCCCTCCATTTTGCTTGCGCCGCCATCCCCCCTCCCCAACTCCCAGATCAGCTTCCGCTCCCCTTTCGGGCCTGCGACCCCGCTGGCTCTGGACATCCACCGTGTTTTTATCCATTCGATTCGGTTCTCTCGGTTCGGCTCGACTCGGCCCGAGTCGACTCGACTCGGCTCGGCTCTCCGCCGCCTCTCTCGCTTCGGCCCCTTCTGTTCGGGACAGTTTCGTTCTGGGCCCCCCCCCCCCCCTCCCGCCCGCCCTGCCCACAGAACCAAGACAAGATCGATTCCATCGCCACGCTGGTCACCCGCACCGCGGCCCAGCTGGTGGAGACCCCGCGCAAGCGGGCCAAAAAGGTCGAGAATCTAGTGAAGTCGCTGAACGAAGGCTCCAACTTCCCGTCGGCCGTCAAACAGATCAAGGACATCCCCGCCCCGTGGATGTTGACGTTGTTCGGGAAGGCGCGGACTGACAGATACCCAGCAGTCGCAGATTTGCGGCAAGGGCAGCGCTGGCGTGATGCAGTGCCTCGAGTACTTTTCAGGATCGGGATTTCTGGTTTCCCCCATCCCCTGATCTATCCGCTCCTGCCCTGCCCGCCGTCCCTCCATGCCGACGCCTCAGCTGCTCCCTCCCCTGGTCCTCGCCGCAGTTTTTCTAGTTGGCGGGGGTGGCAGCGGCTGCGCCCCCTCTCGCTCCTCTTGCCCGTCCCTGCTCTTCCCTCTTCACTTGATCTTCCCTCCCTCCCTCTGCTGCCCCTCTCATGTAGGCCCTCCCCCCTCTATACTTGCGTTGTTTCCTTCGTGCTGCGGGTGCACCTCCTGGGGGCGGGCGGCGGGCGGGGGCGGCGCTGGCGGCGGGGGGGGGGGCTGATGCGGGGTTGGGGGGCGGCGATGGGGGTGGGGGCGTTCGCGACGTGGGTGGATGGCCGAGGGCGGTGCCGATGCCCCTTCCTCATCCTCGCCATCCCGCCCACCCCCCCGCCCCGCCGCCCGCCGCGCCCCCCCGCGCCTCCGCCCCCCCCCCTCCCCGCTCCCCTTTGGGCAGCGGCGGTCGGCTGCCAGGGGCGATGGCGCCAGGGCGATCAGCAGGGCCAGCGGGGGCGCACTGCAGAAGGGAGCTGGGGGGGAGGGGCGCGGGGGTGGCGGAGCGGGGGGGGGGGGGGAGAGGAGCGATGAGCCGTGGAGAGATGGCGTAGATGGGGCGCAATGTCAG